GACGGACGGACAGACGGACAAACAGACAAACAAAATATAGACACTAAAGCACAGTAGAGACACTAAGCAGAGACAGAAAGAGACGAGGAGACAGGGACAGAAGCTGAGGGATGGATAGAGAGACCCTTGCGCCACCTACCGGCCGACAGCCGTCCGCAATAAGTGCTGCCCATTCTCCGCAGCTTTGATTGACCATCTCGTCACTAGATGGCAGCACGAGTGAGCGCCTGAATGCAGGCTGTACCGCCGAGCCCAGTACTGGCGCGACGCCAGACGACAGCCAGAACCATCCAATTTAGCCTCTAGATAAAACAAAATGCTCAGTTGTAATTAGGTGCTTAGTGATGAGCAGGATTAGGGTATTATGCCTATGGTACATACAGGGTGGACCAAAAGGATGAAAACATTTTAACTCGTATAAACATGTATCATTGCATGCATGTGACTGGGAATGATACCAAACAAGAGTACATTTCGTGGAAATTCATAATGGCTACAGATATCATCATTCCGCTATAGTCTACACTCTACATAGAGGCGAAAGAAAGGCCAAAGTTATCATGCAAACATGTTTATGCTGCACCAAATGTGACAACAGCAACGTTATCTTTGTGGAGATCAATGCTTTATGCCATATAGTCCATGGTCATGTGCCCATATGAGGATGTAGCGCCATTGACATATGTAAAGTGGCGCATCAGGCTTGAGGTGAATGGAAATTTGGTGTATAGGATGTTAGAACATGTCTGTTGTTTGGCTGCTTTTCTGGTGAAGCGTCTACTTATTGCCGTGCTACTCTTCATTCTAGTGTTTACTATCGGGAAATGAAAAGTCGTGGACCAAGCGCCGTTCTGGCCCTGGGCGGCGGCAAATGCCTTCCCTCGGTCGCCGAGTTCAACGTGCGGGCTCAGTGGTACCTACTGGACCTCAATGTCCTGCTCAAAGCTTCAGGTCAATAGGGAAAAAAAACAATGTCCCTAACATTGACCTGGTAATATCATAGGATTGTGTCCTAATTTTAGATTCATGTTTACAACCTTTATTACTGCAATTTTCACAAAGTGTTGCCAGCAGAATGGGAATGATCTTGTTGGACCGACGCCAACCAGCCTTTCGCTGGATATTTCGCTGAAAACGTTCAGACCTTGTTACACCGTGCTGACACTGCTGACGTTATCTGGCTCCAAACTTCAGAACAGTAATCGAGTTGGGATCGTGGGGAGATTGCATTCCCGTCAGCTTCGATGTTACTCTCTTCAGCACCTTCCGCCCGTTGGCTAAATGCGATGTCATGACACTCAGCGGTAGGAGAGGGGGATGGGTGCTCCTGATCGTTTTGCTTAGGGTCGCGCTACTATTCGCAGAGCTGAATACTTGTCCGTGTCATAACACTTACGCGACATACTAGCGCCTAGGCGACAACTTATCGCATCTTTGGGAAAATGATAAACGTCCTGATGAAGCTAAGAGAGTCAAATGTGGTTTTTATCAATACCTTTAATTTAAAGACCAATTTTAATATAAAAAACAGAATCAAATATCCCGTGATAGCCGGCTCCCTAATTATCATTTTTCTGATATCCGTATTTTATGAGGTTAACAAGTGTTCTCATCAACCCTACAGTCATCATAAAAGTGTATTTTGCAAGCCTCACAAAATATGGTTTAATCATATATTATTCATATGTAAATTATGTGGATCAATTAAAACACAGACCAACCTCCATAGAATATCATCGGCCTAATACAATAATACCAAATGTATGTAGTGTAGTAAAAACAACCACCGACGAAGGAGAGACATCCTCTCCATCTCTCCCTCCTCCTCCTCCTCCTCCTCCTCCTCCTCTCCTCTCTCTCTCTCCTCTCTCTCTCTCTCTCTCCTCTCTCTCTCTCTCTCTCTCTCTCTCCTCTCTCTCTCTCTCTCTCTCTCTCCTAGAGAGACGGAGAGATATGTGGTGGCCATGAGAGAGCGGCGGGAGACAAAGTGACCGCCATCGAGGCGTATCAAACGAAACGGTCTGCACGCTGCCCTCAGCGTGAGCAGCGTCGGATGTCGGAGATAAGGACCTTTTCGACGGTCATCACAAGGTCGGAAATGAATACTACGAAAAAAGAAGATGTGCTATTGGAAGAAGTTGACGAGCCGTTGAATTGTTGCTGTACAATAGAATCCTAACAATAATGTAAAAAAATACATTGATCCTATGGGTAGGTATACATCTTTAGTCTTTGGCTGGAGCTGGAGTTTAGCTGGAGTCTTTAGTCTGAAGCTGGAGTGGAAGACAGTTTCTAAATCTACCAATGAAATTTGGCAGAGGCATGTCTCTTTATTTCTAGCTCAGTGTTTCTTTTTGTCCCCAACATCTTCATTTTCTTGTCTTTAAAATGCTAATCGGTTGTTTATGCCAATTCAAATGCTAATCTAAAAGTTAGTCTTTATTCCACCAGCTCCAGTTCTAAAGCATGTTTTTCAAATACCATAGCCGATTGCTTTTTTTACCAAAATAACTACACCATGTTATCTATGCCGATACCAGTGGCTTCAATTTATAATACATTTATTTTCTTTACAGTTAAAAAAAAAACAGCAGGCTGGATACGTTATTGACCCTGTGCTCATGGATTCATGGGCTAGTTTGCTTTGGTTAAGGACTGAAAGACGCGCTGAGAAAACTTAATGATCGCCAAAAGTGATAATAACGTGCTAAAAGTACTTTGCTGAAAGCATGGGCTTTGAATGAAAAGTCAAAATGTTGACGCAATCGAAAGAAAAACGCTCATGAGACTCCCTGACCATACACAAGTTCATCCCATGACAGGAAAGAACGCTAAATATTCACTTAGAAGTTTCCTACATCATCATGTTGCTGACGCTCCATTAGCCTCATATCCATATAGCCTCGTTGCTGGTGCGCCCTAAAACTACCACCATTAGCCTCATATCTACCACAGTTCGACCAAATCCCAGCTGATCCTACCACTCACCTCATGACTGCAGCACCAGCGGGTGGCTCTCCTCCGTGCCTCTCTGGGTGCGTCTCCTCCTCTCTCCGTCGCCGTCGACGAGCCACTGTCGTCGGTGCCGCTGCTCTCCGACGGCCAGCGTCGCCCCCGACGGCTGACGGTGCGCCGACCCGGCCAGATCGCCCCGGGCGCCGGGCCGGGCCGAGTGGTGCCCTGTCGTCGGCGCGGTATCGACCAGGGGCGGTGCCAGGCGCCCAACTGGGGGAGCAGTGAGAAATGGCAGGAACTTAGGAGTAAACAAACCCTCCAGTTCATATTGCTAGTGTGAACCCTTCACGCTCCAAAAATGCCGTGATTTTACAGGGCTTGCAAGGGGACGCTATTTTTCGGAATGTAGCAAGATTTGGGCGCTTTTTGTCTCTTTTTCGCCGATCATTTGAGGTCATGAAGGCTATGTCCATCTTTTCGCTTTTTTTTTGTTCAGTTATGTCCCTTCAGTATATGATAATATTTTAGCTCCGAAGAGTGACAGGGTGGTGTGAGACATTTCGCTAAGTCGATCACCGACTGGGTCGTCGCAGGGACTGCTCCTGTCTTGTCGGGAGTCGGAACGAACCAAGTCCACTCAAACGTTTTCCCCGGAGGATATTTTCCTTTCAGATCCGCTCTCCACTGGCAACCGTCGAGGCACCGTGTAACCGTGTCAGATCAGAAAAGGTATATGTAGTGTGCAAAACATGACCCTGAGGAACAAGGGAAGAGAAGACGGATGTGATTTTTGCAGTTATTCAGCTTTTTTCCTAAATTGTCCACAGACCACAGCCAAACTGATTTATAGTGCCAGAAATGGCATCATTAGGGAAATCGGATAGAAAGCGGCTGATGAAAATCGAATACGTTCAGGCGGGTGTCTGAGTGCGCTGGCACCATTTTCCTTATAGGTGATTGTCGCGCCCCCGTGGTCTGGCTGCACCCCTCCCCACTTCCTGCACCCTGAAGTGGGTTTCTGAGTGCCCCCCGCTGCCCCCCTGAGGACCACTGTCTGAGCACGCCCGTGGCGGCAGGCCGAGTCAGCTCCCCTGCGAGCGATGACGACAGAGCGCGGTGGCGACCGGCCGCGCTGCCGTGTCCCCTCATAGAGCGATCGGTGGCCCCAATCGGACGCGACGCGAACGCACCGAGAAATATGGGCGCCGATAAAAACAATAATGGTCTGGGAGTGGTGGACGTCCCATCGCTGATACGCTACCGAATTGTGATGCATGGGTTTGGCCACATGCATCAGAAAAGTTTGCTCGTGTTGGACAATGGACACTGATCTTGAGGAAACTTAGTTCAGAGTTACTTTACGCCCCTCCCCCTCCCGTCGGCCAGCTGGGGCGATACAAAAGTCTATAGTTTCGGCGCGGTGTGGAAATATGTGTGCTATCCTCCTCGTTTGAATGATTGCATAGATCTGGCCTCACTTGTCAGATTCACAAGAGAACTTGCGGCTGCGCTCAATGATGTCTGCATTGCTTCACAGGATATCAACTTACATTCCCAATGCACGGCAACGCACTATATTAAACGCAATAGGTGTTAACGTTCGCTCTTTACCGGTTTCCTTATATCTGAGACAGCGAAGCATGTGCAGTCGCAATATCTAACAACCTTTCAACTAGAATCACCCACACGTTGCGGAATTAAAAGATCAAGTTTGGAGTGTGCCATTCACTTTTTCTGAAATTCCAACCAAGAATGACATCCTCTTGCAAATCTACAAACTTAAATACTGTGTATCGATGCTGTGGAACGCAATGTGATGATGCAAACCACACATGTTGAAAAACGTGAGAGGGCGGTGGCTTATGGTGGGGGGGGGGGGAGGAAGTCAAACCGGTGTATGTCTGCAGCGGACAAGATGTGCGAACATCGGCTCTGCTTAGGAAAGGCGTGCTGTTCCGGTCCGGCCGGCCGGCAGGGTCGCCGCCGTCGGCTACTTTCACTCTCACCGTCCCGGAGGAACGTGCCTTCAGCGACACACGAGATAACTGGTTTGAGGTTTATTTCGTCTCTCCAGTCACACCACTGGCACTGGTATGTAACAAAAAATCATGCAATGGCAGATGATACAATCACACAATGGCAGTCGACACGTGCGATCGCTCGTGCCGTAAAAAAAAACAAGTCACATAACAACGCATTGAGCAGTATCATTGAGCTAAGGAAGAGTAGTGTGCTGGCGTGAGTCCAAGGCAAAGATGAGGCGGTTAAGTACGTAACTCTCTTTGCTGTTCGAGCATTCGATAGTGCTGGGGTATCTCAGCCTCAGACACACAAGGCTCGAACACTCTGCCGACACATCAACTCCATTTTCTATCCTACATTAGTACGCGGCGGGGCCTCTAACTCCGGTTGGGGGTAGAGTAGAGCCCGTTGTTGAGCGGCGCGCTGATGTCAAAGTCCTGCTGGGGCACCTCCACAGCGTCGGAGAGCGACACGCTCGGCCCGGCCGACTGTCCGTGCGGCGGGAAGCTGTCGTCAAAGCTGTCATCCCCGGTGGCGAGCGGCAGCGGTCCGGCCGACTGCGGCACGTCCACGGCGCTGCCCGAGGAGAAGACGGGCGGCAGCGGCTTCTCGGCCTGCTGGGAGCTGCTGGTGAACGTCTCCCGAACGGGGCCCAGCGACTGCGACACGCTGCTGCCGCCGTCCGAGTGGATGACCGGTCCCTGAGAAATGGTCGTCGTCGTGCTGGTGGTCACGGGGCCCTGAGAGATGAACAAATCGCGCTGGGAGTCGAACGACGCGCCCTGGGAGTCAAAGGTGATACCCTGCTGCTTGATGGGTCCAAAGCCCTGATTGATGGGGGCGGGGTGGATAGGAGCAGGGTGAATGGGTGCGGGGTGGACGATTGGAGCGGGGTACGGCTGGTGGACAGGGACTGGGTGCGGCTGGTGGACAGGCGCAGGGTGCACCGGCGACACGGGGGGGTGCACCGGCGGCCGCGGAGCCGGGTAGATGCTGCCGCGGTTTCCGTGGCCGACAGCGATCGGTCCGGGTCCTCCAATATTGCGACCCTGAGTGTGGAAGGCCGGGGCGCCGTACACCGGAGCCGGGGCGCCGTACACGGGGGCAGGGGCGCCGTACACGGGCACGGGCACGGGGTGGGTGTACACCGGGGTGCGGTGGTAGTGGTGCACGTGGATGATCTTCTTGCGGCCGCCGCCTCCGCCCTTGCCCTTGTGGCCTCCCTTGTGGCCGCCCTGGCCGCCCTTGTGGCCACCGCCGCCCCCATGTCCGCCGTGACCTCCGTGACCTCCGTGACCCTTGAAGCCGCCCCCGCTGCCGTACTCTCCGACCTCTAGGATGAACTTGGTCGGCCGGATGCTGTAGCCGTGGCTGTGGCCGCCATAGCCGTATCCGGCGCCGTAGCCGACCGGGCCAATAGGGCCGTGGGCGATAGGGCCGTGACCGATAGGGCCGATAGGGCCAGGGCCGCCATATCCTCCATGGAAGGGAGCCGGACGGAACCCGCCGTGGCCACCACTGCGAGGGAGAAAAGACAAGGTCAGTGTCGGTGCATGACGAACTGTGCATAAACTGCTTCTGAATGCATTGTGCAGATGACAAAAACTTCAACACACCTATCATCTAATATTGTCGAGCATTACGAAACCATGACTTATTTGATCTGTTTATCGAGGAACCATCAAGTTAGCAGTTACAAGGGTTACCTATTTGATATCTCAGTCTCAGCAACTCGTATTTATACGTTGCTGACGCGATGCTGGTTAGAAAGCTGCCGAAAGGCGGAGTTACCCACCCGAAATGACGACCGCCTCCGCCTCCATCAGAACGCACTGCGACTGCCAACGAGGCCAGGAGGATCGCGCCGAACTGAAACAGACAAAATAGGACGTCAGTGTTACGAGGTCAAATATTTTCGCAGCGAGACTAGCGTGGATGAACATTATGCCTATGCAATTTGCAACTGATTATTCGCAGAAATATCATAGCTGTTCAATGAATGCAAACAAGATGTTGCTCGCATGATGATAAATGACATGTTTCCAAAAGATCAAATAAACCTCTCAATCTGATATTGATAAAGTTGTTAAACAGTTAAATGTCTTACACAAAAAAAGGCGTAAAACGATTAAAAAAGAGCGGTTTTTACTTTGCGATGTAACCGCGAAGCCGCACATGTTTTCCAATGACCACCACTCATGTAAAGCTGAATGGCTATGGCATGCAGATAACCGTGCCAGCGCCATCAGAGGCTGATGTGGCTCGTTGGCTCCCTTTGGCTCTGCGCCAGTCTCTTCTCTCACCGTTTTCATCTCTGGCGGCTGCGCTCGTCTCTCTGTGGTGTCTTCCCGCGTCTCTCTGTGTTCAGCTCCCTGGGTCTCCTGGGGTCTGCTGCTCTGACTCCTGAGATGGCTCTGGGTCGACTGACGACCTGGCCTGGGTGAGCCGCCTTTTACGTGCACCGCTCGGAGCCGGCGACACGGGAGGAGGTGGAGACCCGTCCTGACCGACCGGTCGGCCGCAATGAAAGGCCGCCGTGCCTCAGTCAGCCACGGCCGAGTACGGCCGCCGTGCCGTACTGGCCCATACGGTGCCGTACTGGTCCGTACAGTGCCGTAATGGCCCATACAGTGCCGTATTGGTCCATGCAGTGCCGTAATGGTCCATATGGTGCTGTACGGGCCCATGCCGTGCCGTACTGGCCCACACCATGCCGTACTGGTTCATACTGTGCCATACTATTCCATAATGTGCCATACGGGTCCATACAGTGCCGTACTGATCCATACAGTGCCGTACTGGTTCATACGGTGCCGTGCTGGCCCACACAGTGCCGTAATGGCCCATACAGTGCCGTTGGCCTTTCATACCATACTGGTCCATACGTGCCGCACTAGCCCCTACAGTGCCGTTGGCCCTTACAGTGCCGTTGGCCCTTACCGTGCTATACTGGCCCATACAGTGCCGTTGGCCCTTACAGTGCTATACTGGCCCATAACGTGCCACACTGATCCATGCGGTGCCATATTAGCCCAGAAAGTGCCGCACTGGTCCATTCAGTGCCGAAACGAATATTAGCTGGAGAACTGGCACTGAAAATTGAGCGGAACTGAACATTAGGTGCCGCCGTACTAGTCACTAGACATCCAATGTTTGGCTTTACTGGCTATTCAATGATGGTGATAACGGACATATTCATTCCCATGCTGGCTGTTTATTGCCCACGCCTTACTAAACATCTATGATATTGTGCAGAGATGGGCATCTATGTACTGTCGTGCTATATTCCTCGCCGACCGAGGGGCGGGCGGGGGGACGGGTGCCGTCCCCCATATGATTTTTTTCGCGATAGCTATAGACACGCCGGTGATAGAGAGCTGAAACTTGGCATGCCTGATCTTTGATCCAAGCCGCATCTTGCACTACCAACCGAATTTTTAGGTCAGGTCAGGTCACTGACCTATGACATGATAAGTGAATCTCTGCACGGTCCTCGGATATCGCAGCTTCGCAGCGCCCTCAGTGTCTGAGAAACTTTTACAGGGAGACGAAACTTGCAGTATGAAGTATCCTCCAGAGGTCTCACAACTTGCATATCTCGGATTTTTCCTACAGATCACATGAGATCAGGTCGATCACGTGACCTCACCATTATAAGTCAGTGGGAAAAAATGAAAACTGCTATTCTGGAGCCGGGAACGATCTCCAACTATCTCAAGCACGCAGAATCGTGATTTCTTGCATTCCTTGAAAGTCAAGATGCTTGACTTTTGCATTGCTGACCTAGCGTGACGTCATTTATGACGTCACTTTGGTCATAAAAGTTTTTCGTCCATAATTCCCGAACAAACTGGGCTAGCGAATCGGGAAAGCCACGAATGGACTCAGGAAGACCTGCCGAATCGAATGATATGCGACATGACCTTCTTCGACCAGCTTTATTACCTGGGGCGCTGGCTTGACCTTGACCCGAGGTCAACACCTCAAGTTGACCTCACCCCAACAAAAAATATGCCATTCGACGCGCCTGAGCGAGTTGAATGATAATTCCAAAATCGCGGCTCTGCAACCGGTTTTTGCTAAGTTAGTTATGAAAACCTGAACCAGTGCCTTGATTCACTTGCCCTGACTTTAGAGGTCATCGGTTGACCTGAGGCCTTAAAATCGGGTACCAATCGCTGCGCCTTGTAACGGCGCACACGATCATTTTTCTGCGACGCTCTAGCTTCATTAGGGACGAAACGGCGAGGGGAGGGTCGTACCCCCACCCCACCAGATGTGACCTGCACTTAATTGTGCAGGTATGCTTTGAGGATTTATAGAGTTATTAGCATGAGAGGGAAAGAGGGGAGAGAGAAGAAGGAGGGAAGAAGAGGGCAGATGTACTTACGAGCACGTTCAGGTATGTTTTCATATAATAGCTACCTACTCCTAATATACTGCTACTCTTAATATATACCGAAAATCAAAACCGTATGTATGGTGTCCATGGATAGCGAGTGGTTGCGACTTGTGTGTAAAAAAATGGCACTTCCTGTCCAGTCTGCAGTTCTGGAAAAGGTCGGTCACATAAACATAAATATTCCAACGGGTTTCACCCAACCGTCTGTCGAAATGCTGGCAATAAATGTCGCTTTGCTGCAGCTGGATGTGTGTACCGGGGAGGGGGGGGGGGACTGGTCGTAAGCCCTATGCTCTAGTCAACGCTCCAGTTTGACACGATTGGTCAACTGAGCAAGCCCAATCTGGTTTGCCGCATCCTCTATTCAACGAAGCTGCATTCTGCTGCTCTGTTTGGCAATATCCTGCGCTGCAGGCTTGATGATGCGATACGCTTTTTAACTCTTCTGTCAGGTCAAAGAAAATGGATATATTTCAAGCGCAGCTATGTAACGTGGCATTCGGCTATTCAAAACTCCCTTTCATTAAGTGAACTGTGAACGCAAGGTGTTCCCGCCTTTTTACAGCTGATAATGGTTTGAGATGCCATTCAAAGATAGTGGGTAAATTGAGCTATTTTATTCCAGTCAGACCAGTTCCGTAACCTGTCTATGTAGAAGCCCAGTCAACGATCAATGCCCATTACTTTTATTTCCAAAGAAATGCTACAAGACCTTGCCAATCTATGACGCATTAAACATGATATGTACGATGATGGGATCAACTACCGTTTAACAGAGCTGAGATTTTACATAAAGATAGCATCTTTTGCAGTTGAGTTCCACATGAAGACAAACGCAATGTATCGCAATTCGCAAACCAAACAGTTTTAAATTAGTAATGTGAATTGACATCATCGCGGGGATATCATCGCCTTTAGGCTATAAGTGACGTTTATCGTCCCATTGGCGTAGTGAAGTCCAAGCAGTAGCGACAATCAATGGTGATCAGCACCAAGGAATGTCAATCATTTCCGCAGTGTCCAGACAGGTTTTCCGCTTGCTCAATGTCCTCACTATTCCGGAATGCAGCCGTGTCTGATCCGCTGCAAAAAAAAAGACTTTCGATAAGCGTCGCGTACGGAATTTATGACCAAAGGCGAACTTCATGATTGTGCTGTCTGGTCTGCATTGAAAGCCTGCATTATCGAATTTAAATCTCAAAATCAATCGTAATCCATTGTACAACCGCTTCGGTAGCAACTGTTAAACATTGTTATGTCGCAACTGTTTTAATTCATTTGCTTACTTAACGTTCTCGATAATCTGATGCATATAGTCAGAAGATGATAGCCTGAAGCTGAAACACATGTGGTGGCAGTTCTACAATACTGAAACTTTTAACACGCGCACCGACGGGGGGGGGCGGATATCCGCCCCCCCCCCTGAGGTTTTTCGCGAATAGCGGGAAAACCGAGGCGCGTAGCGCCGCGAAATTTGGTACGACTATCTCTCATCAATTTTACACATGGTGTGCAAGTTTGAACCTCCTAACTTTTAAGGTCAGGTCACCAGGTCACTTTGAATGACCCAACCTCAAGTCACTTTTTTGCAACTTTGTCACCGTGCCAGAGCTACAGTAGATGTCTGAGGCCTTTGAAAGTCGCAGGATGTTATGAAGTCATTAATAGCTACAATTTGTATATCTCGGAATTTTGATATCGGTGACCTAAGGTCAGGTCAATTTCTCGACCTCCCTATTATAAGTCAATGGGGGAAAATCAACTCCCTGTTTTACCACTAAAACGGGTCGGAATGTCACCATATACCATACATGACTTCATATACGATCAACCTTCACTACCTTGAGGTCTGTTTTGCTGTTGGGCAGCTGTAAGGTCATGTGACGTCATCAAAGGTCACCAGCGGTTTTTTGCCAATAACTCCGTACAGAAACAAGATACAGCCGCGCGGATGGTCTCATTGTGTTCAGCTCGTCAAGACGCATCGAATGATATACATGATGACCTCGAGGTCACGTGACCTGAGGTCAACCTTTGACCTTGACCTTTCGAGGTCAACATATATATCATTCGATGCGGATTGACGAGAGGATCACGATGGTGCCCTTAGTTTGTTCCTATCTTGACTAGTTCGAAAGTTATTCGAGAAAAACTCTCTCCATATATAGCGCCGCCATTTTGACTTTTTTGACCCCTGTGACGTCATCTTTGACCTGACCTGAAAATGACCTTTGTAAAAATTATAGACCTTGTCCGTGGGTATCCGATGCCGTTTACCGCTTGTCGCTATCTAGCTTCGTTCTCGAGATCTCAGGGGGGCGGTCATCCACCCCCCCCCCCCCCGTCGGTACGAAGTTGGCGCAGACCCCCGTCGGTGCGCGGGTTAAGAATGGTAATTGAGCGTGTTGTGATAAGGTTGCGTTGTGTTGTTTACAATCGACATGGACTGTATTATCAAAAAGGCCGTACTCTCATTTATCTCTCAACTTAAAAAGCGGCTTTCTAAGCTTCCCAGGAAATTGTGCAGGATAACTATTGGGATCGCCACTAAACAACAAATTGTCATCTGGTCGAAATCCCCAGGAAATATGACACATTGTGTCAAAATCATCCATAAAGCGAAAAACAAGCGTGATGAGCCAAAGACGATTCGCCTTGTCCCTGTCACCCATCCCAGGAGGAGGCGCGCGAGTTTTGCACAACGGCTGGTGATAAGGAAGACATCGAATGATGAAACCACAGTCGCCAGTACGGACCACGTATTTGCCGGGTGTCGCGTCCGGCAGCCATGACGGCGGCGGTGGCCATTGATCCTCAGCTGATCCCAGCCGCCGGACCGGGTGCCGCACCGTCCGGTCCGGTCCGGTCCGGATCGGCTCCCACAACCTTCACGTCACCGCCCCGCCCCGCCCCGTGCGGCGTACGGTACGGGGTCGAGGGGCACGCGCGCCGCGGAATGTCTAATCCATTAGCCCGTAGTGATGGCGCAAAGCGTCGACGAAATGCTAGAAAAACGACATATCGCCCGCCCGGCGACAGTTGCAACACTTAAGAGGTGTTTAAAAGCCATCCCAAGCTGTGCACAGAGATGTAAGTAATTGTGGAAACGTGCTTAGGTCACACGC